GCGAAAGGGACTACTTAGTAGGAACAATCCAGTCTGAGGGCCATAACGTGATAATTGCAGTAATGTACAAACCTCCACAGAACTGCAGGAGGCCAAGAGAAGAATTCGACGAGGTATGGAAGATGGCAAATGTAGTCCCAATTTTTAAAAAAAAGGAGACAGACATGAGGCATTGAACTACAGACCTGTGTCACTAACGTGTATAGTATGCAAAGTCATGAAGAAGATCATCAGGAGGAGAGTGGTGGAGCACCTGGAAAGAAACAAGTGTATATTCTACAACCAGCACGGTTTCAGGGAAGGAAAATCCTGTATCACAAACCTACTGGAGTTTTATGACAAGGTGACAGAAGTAAGACAAGAGAGAGAGGGGGGTGGATAGACTGCATTTTCTTGGACTGCAAGAAGGCCTTCGACACAGTTCCTCACAAGAGGTTACTGCAAAAGCTAGAGGATCAGGCACACATAACAGGAAAGGCAGTGCAGTGGATCAGAGAATACCTGACAGGGAGGCAACAACGAGTCATGGTACGTGACGAAGTGTCATAGTGAGCGCCTGTGACAAGTGGGGTTCCACAGGGGTCAGTCCTAGGACGTGTGCTGTTTTTGGTATATGTGAATGACATAATGGAAGGGATAGACTCAGAAATGTCCTTGTTTGCAGATGATGTGAAGTTAATGAGGAGAATCAAATTGGTCGAGGATCATGCAGGACTACAAAGAGACCTGGACAGGCTACAAGCCTGGTCCAGCAACTGGCTCCTTGAATTTAACCCTGCCAAATGCAAAGTCATGAAGATTGGGGAAGGGCAAAGAAGACTGCAGACACAGTATAGTCTAGGTGGCCAAAGACTGCAAACCTGACTCAAGGAAAAAGATCTGGAGGTTAGTATAACACTGAACACATCTCCTGAGGCGCACATCAATCAGATAACTACTGCAGCGCACAGGCGTCTGGCAAACCTAAGGATAGCATTCCGATACCTCAGAAAGGAATCGTTCAAGATTCTGTGCACCATTTACGTCAGGCCCATACTGGAGTATGCAGCACCAGTTTGGAATACACACCTGGTCAAGCACGTCAAGAAATTAGAGAAAGTGCAAAGGTTTGCAACAAGACTAGTCCCAGAGCTAAGGGGATTGTCCTACGAAGAAACGTGAAGGGAAATCGGCCTGACGACACTGGAGGACAGGAGGGTCAGGGAAGACATGATAACGACATATAAAATACTGTGCAGAATAGACAAGGTGGACAAAGACGGGATGTTCCAGAGAAGGGACACAGAAACAAGAGGTCACAATTGGAAGTTGAAGACACAGATGAATCAAAGGGATGTTAGGAAGTATTTCTTCAGTCATAGAGTTGTCAGGCAGTGGAATAGCCTATAAAGTGACGTAGTGGAGGCGGGAACCATACATAGTTTTAAGACGAGGTTTGATAAAGCTCGTGGAGCAGGGAGTGAGGACCTAGTAGCAATCAGTGAAGAGGCGGGGCCAGGAGCTATGAATCGACCCCTGCAACCACAAATAGGTGAGTACACACACACACACACACACACACACGCAAACACATATACAGGAGAATACAAACGGACGAGGATTAGGTAAACCCACTATGTGATCTGGACAGGCTGCAAGCCTGGTGTGACAAATGGCTCCTGAAGTTTAACCCACCAAGTGCAAGGTTATGAAGCTTGGAGTAGGACAAAGAAGACCGCAGACGGAGTACAGCCTAAGATGTCAAAGGCTGTAAAACTCACTTAAGGAATGGATATTGGGGCGAGCATCATACCAAGCACATCTCCTAACGTGCACGTCAAACAAATAACTACTGCAGCATACGGGCGTTGGTAAACCTAAGAATAGCGTTTCGATATCTAAGTAAAGAGTCATTCACGACACTGTACATCTTGCACGTTAGGCCTTTACTAGAGTATGCAGAACCAGCATGGAAGCCATACCTGGTCAAATACGTCAAGAAATTAAAGAAAGTGCAAAGGCTTGCAACAAGACTAGTTCCGGAGCTGAGGGGTATGTCCTACGACTAGAGGTTAAGGGAAATTTACCTGACGACACTGGAGGACAAGAGGGATAGGGAGGATATGATAACGGCATATAAAATACTAAGAGGAATTGACAAGGTGAATTGGGACAGAATGTTTCAGAGATGGGACACAACAAGAAGTTACAACTGGAAGCTGAAAACTCAGATGAGTCACATAGACGTTAGGAAGTACTTCCTCAGTCATAGAGTTGTTAGGACGTGGAACAATCTGGAGAGTGATGCAGTGGATGGAGGATCCATACATAGTTTTAAGAAGAGGTACGATAAAGCTCATGGAGCCTGGACAGAGTGGACCTAGTAGCGACCAGCTAAAAGGCGGGGCCAGGAGCTATGACTCGACCCTTGCAACCGCAAATAGGTGAGTATAAATAGGTAAGTATATACACACACACATATTTATATATATATATATATATATATACATATATATATATATATATACATATATATATATATATATAGTATAAATATATATATATATATATATATATATATATATATTATATTATATATATTATATATATATATATATATATATATATATATATATATTATATATATATATATATATATATATATATATATATATATATATATATATATATATATTATATATATATATATATATATATATATATATATATATATATATATATATATATATATATATATATATATATATATAAATGGTACGGTGTCCTGGTGGCTAAAGTTCTCGTTTCACACAGCGAGGGCCTGGGTTCGATTCCCAGCCAGAGAAGAAACATTGGGCGTGTTTCTTTACACCTGTTGTTTGTTCCCCATCAGTGAAATGGGTACCTGGGTGTTAGTCGACTGGTGTGGGTCGCATCCTGGGACACTGACCTAGTTTGTCCGAAATGCTCAGAATAACAAGGGGCTTTCTATATAGTAGTATGTCACTGATGTCAGCTACGACTGTATACCATGTACATGTACTTGTAGTAAATAAAGATACTATTTATTATATATATATATATATATATATATATATATATATATATATATATATATATATATATATATATATATATATATATATTATATATGTATTATATAATATGTGTGTGTGTGTGTGTGTATTCTTGCCTATTTATACTCACTTATTTGCGGTTGCAAGGGTAGATTCATAGCTCCTGGCCCCGCCTTTTAGTGGTCGCTACTAGGTCCACTCTCCCGGCTCCATGAGCTTTATCGTTCCTCTTCTTAAAACTATGTATGGATCCTCCATCCACTACATATATATATATATATATATTATATATATATATATATATATATATATATATTATATATAAATATATATATATATATATATATATATATATATTATATATATATATATATATATATATATATATACATATATATATGTGTATATATATATATATATATATATATAATATATATATATATATATATTTATAATATATATATATTTATATATATATATATATATATATATATATATTTATATATATATACTATATTTATATATATATATATATATATATTATATATATATATATATATATATATATATATATATATATATAGATGTATATAGATATATTTATAATGGGGTCCACCTCTGGTGTAAACTGTGGGACTCATAGCCTCTGAAAAGTGGATAAAAAGGCTTCAATGAAGAATATTTGGATTTCTTCCTGAAGCCGTCTGAATATTCCACTTCCCCTGCCACCCCATCTTTTCATTCTTTTTTACCAATAGGTATATTTTATTACATAATATGGTACAAAAGGTTTAAGAGATACATTGCTGATATAAAGATGGCATATACAGTACATGAGATGTGAGAGATACATGTCTAGTACATGTTGTTACGTGTTTGTCACTGATTCTAATGCGAAAATCTCATCCAGCTCCTCAGAGCTGGGGCACATGCCCAAAATACAGCAGGCATTACCCCTCTGAATAGCAGCGCTGAGTCGCTGGAACTAAAAACTAGCTGCCCTGGGATTCCTAGTTACCCTGATGAGTCTTTTGCCTACCTCCTTAAGGAACTTAGATGCACTTTTTCCCCATGAGCCAAGGGTCTCTGAGTCTATGGGAACAAACATATAATGATGGGCAAGTTCTCCATATTTTCTAGGCTGTTGGGACTCCCTGAAGCTGGCGGCTGCCCCTCCTTCCTCTCTGGTGTATTGGAGATAGGTATCAGCCAAGGTAGATGCGCATGTGTAGTCCCACACCACCTGCTTACCGTCTGTCCAGGCTTGAAGTGTGATACCATCTGGACACTTCTGGCTGCCATCAGATCTGCATAGTAGGGGCGGCTCCCTTACTGCTGGGTATCCGGCTGGTGCGAGGCTCCTCTTGATAATCTTATTAACCTCCTCATGTCTTGCAATCTGTCCCTCGGATTTACGGCCCACAAGCCTGGTACCGATCGGTCAGCTGCTTCACTACCACAAATACACCTGTGTTCGGCGAGAATAGGGGCGATAAGTCGAAGGGCAACACCAATGCGGATGGTCTGTGCGGGTCGAGCCGTGTTGCCAGGCTGGTTGTTGGGACACAGCCACAGAAAGCTATATATAAAAATATAATATATATATATATATATATAATATATATATTATATATATATTTATGTATATATATATATATAAATATATATATATTTATATATATATATATATATATATATTATATATATATATATATATATATATTATATATATATATTATATATATATATATATATATATATTTATAATATTATATATATATATATATATATATATATATATATATATATATATATATATATATATATATATATATATATAATGTGCTTAAACACACACGAACACATATACACACAAACCTAGACAAGGAAGCCAAGGTTATATAAGCAAAGGAGGAGACAATGCAGGCAGATAGGCATTGTGTATCCTTGTGTGCACACGGGTGGGTGAGTATAGGAGCGGTGAGACCACACTTGCCAGTGTCTAAGGAGGCAGCCGGAGCCGGCCAGTCATGAGGATGGCAGCGGCGGCAGCGGTGGTGCTGGTGTTGCTGCTGAACACAGTCTCAGCTCAAAGCTTTGCAGGTAAGACTGAACAGAACACACGTGAACCACATTTCATACTTTTTTTTATATTTAATTGATGTTCAATGCTGATCTGCCACACATTATTTTATATGTTAGCTTTGTTATGTATAATATAACCATACTTGTTATATACTGGATCCAGGGACTGAGTCCCAACATTCTCTGGGTTAAGCACGTCATTGTGCTAATGAGTTATTAACAGTGAACGGAGTTAAAGCCTCAAGTTATAATCGACATCTTCCTTGAGGGAATACCTCCTCAGTTCTATCATAAATTAAAAGGTAAGCAGGAAGCCACAGACAATAATCCCCGACCGTTATTTACAATTTTGTTATTCCTATGACTTACTTCAGAGACAAGCATTCTGCAGTCGAGACTCAAGGTTAATGTGTTTAGGGATGATCCAAGATCACAATGCATGTACACATTGTGATCACAATGTACGTACATATTGTGATCACAATGCATGTACACACTGTGATCACAATGTACGCACATATTGTGATCACGGTGCATGTACACACTGTGATCACAATGTACGTACATATTGTGATCATAATGTACGTGTACGTACACATTGTGATCACAATGCATGTACACATTTGATTGCTAGAAGTACAGAAAACAATTTAAGTTGGAAGGCGGAAGACCATTTGTATAAGCACCGCTCTGAGTGTGGAAGTTCTTATATATCTTGGTACTGTATCATATAAATGGTCTTTGGTGCAGGTTGTGTAGATGAGTCATTTTAAATATTGCTACAGCTATTTGATTAATTTGCATCATGAAAAAAAAAAAAAGTTTGGAGCGCGTCTTTGAGTATCGTGTAGCTACTGCAACACAGCTAAGCTTGAGGAGTCCCTCCTTCAGTGTTCAATACGTTATTTTTTTTACATCTTCATTGGAGTAGCATTTGCTAATTCCAGTTGCATCCCATTCTATTATTATAAAACTGCAGAAAAAAGTATTATGGCACTTTTTAGAAAAAACTCTCTAATAGTCTTCGGGCACTGTTTTCGTCTTTGTTTACATCTGGTGCCATTTGTTCTACCTGTTGATTGTATTAAAAAAGTCTTTCTAGTAATCCATTATCTGGTATCAAGTACAGCCTTATAAATTGTTATCCTGTCTTCTCTTCCCTGTGCAGGGGATTAAGAACGTGTTATCTATAGATCTGAAGGCAAGCAAGGACACATTCGGGGTCCTTGCATGCCTTCATGATTTTGATTGGTTCATTTTAATTCCTTGGTCAAGTCCTCTAAGTATTGTGTGGGACACTAGAGCGAGCAAGGGTGCGGAATAATCAATCATGCAGGGATTTAATGTATGAAAAATTTATCTTTGCACTTTGAACGTTCTCGTCTTTGAGATGATATGTTTCATGTATCTGAGATCATTCACTTACTTTGTCCCCTCATTTATTCTCAGACCTCTCACTTTTTCAGACCTTTTATATATTCAGTCCCTTAACTTTAGTTCCTCCGCTTATTCTGCCCCTTCCCAGTGTATCGTCGTTTGTTAATGATTCTTATCATTTGTACTCGTATTAATATTAAAGTTGTGACTGCTTCTTCGGGTTTAACGCTTGTTAAGTATTGTTAGGTACTGTGCTTGTCTTGGTATTATCAATAAGAAGATCGAACCCTCACCATTCATTGCCTAAACAGTCCAACACAAGTTTAGCGCTTCGCTTCAGTAAATATTGTTATATTTGAATATACTAATTGTCTAGGTTTCTAATTTCGTGACTTCGTAGGTCACTTAGATCAGTATCTCCTTGGGATCTACCGGACCGAGTAAGTCCTGTAGATGAGCAATAAGTTTTGCGCTTGGTAAGTAGGAGGATTAATTCAAGTTCACTTTGCGATGACATTGTAGACTGAGGCCACACAATCCTCACTCTTAGCCACATGTTTTCACGTTTTCCTGCTTCTGTCTGTTATTATTATTATAATCAAAAAGAAGCGCTAAACCACAAGGGCTATACAGCGCTGCATGCTTCTGTCTGTGACTTACGTTATGCTGCTGACCATAGAGCTCAGTTTTCCATGGTGTGCACCGCTTCGACATTTTTTTCTTAATTTTTTATGGTTACCTGTGTATTTGATAAGCGGAGTATGATAAACACTTATCCAATGAAATCCAACCCTACATGACGACACAAGTGTTACAACGTAACAGGAGTCACCAAAAAAATGCACTGTGAGAGGAACCTTATGACGACTTTTCGGTTGTGACGACAATGGTCCTGGAAGGACCGAAACGTTGACTTAAGGTTCCTCTCCAAAGTTCGTTTTTTAGTGAAATGTTGCAGCCACGGTATCGTGATTTCTTTATTTTGAAAATAAGAATGTTATGAATATAGGGACCTCGGAAAATGTTGTTAATTTTTATATAGTAACGAATTATTTAATTGATGCTGTTTATTTAATCTTCGTGTGCTAATATTTATTGTCCTTCACTCGTTATATTTTAATTTTTGGTTTGTTTTATCTGACGAGTGCGCGCGCGTGTCGTGTGTGTTTTTGTGTGTGTATAAAGCTTTTTATTGACATGAGTGCTGGATGACCTCTTGGGCTCAAGTACTCTGTAACTTGTAACTTCTCTGTTTATCGGTTTACGAGTTCTTCTAAATGTTGAATTTGGCTTTCAAGGATCTCAAATTTTGTTATTCAAAGATGTATATGTTACTGACTATCACAGCTGCAGGATGACAATCTTACTAACTTTTAATATTGCAGGATGTCGGGTGTGCCAGGACAAGTGCGTGTCGGTATCACGCGCAGACGGATCATGCCCAGTGTGTGTGTGTGGCAGGGTGGCACTGCCTGACTGTGCCGCCAACGCCACAATGGAATGCGCACCAGGCTGCACTGTGAGTCCAGGACCTGATGGCTGTGGTGGCTGTGATTGTCCTCCTCCTGAACCCGCGGTGTGCCCGCCCTCGCTCCCTGCCCCTCAGACTGTCAGACAATCTTGGATGATAATGGATGCCCCGGGTGTGTATGCACCTCCGCGCGAGTCTCTTGTCCCACCCCCACCTGTCACGATGGATGCACCGAGGAAGTTGGGGACGACGGGTGCCGCCGGTGCCGCTGTGACGGCCCTGGGACCTGTCCTGCCATGCCCGAGTGTCTTCGAGGATGTATTGACAGAGACGATAACAGCGGCTGCTTTTTTTGCAATTGTACTCTCCCTCCATCAAATTCAGCTGATCCTTCAGTACGTGCACCAACGTCCTTGGGAGCTCATACAACACCATTTGGATTTGGACCCTTTGTAAAGTCTCCTGCTGTAGGATTTGCATCACCTGAGCGGCCTTTGAGGGTTTCTGGAACTCAAGTCAGCCGCAAGCCCAGGTGTCGCAGCGGGTCACGTTTGCGGTGTCCTCTAGGCTGCAAAATAGCTATTGGTCCCGAGGGCTGCCGCGAGTGTTACTGTGGGGATGATGCTTACCTATGCCCTGGTGTGCCCAGATGTGTCAACCGCTGTCTATTCCTCAGCCCAGAAGACAGATGCTGCCGATGTCAATGTTCCCAACAATCTGGAGGTTCCATCTTCGGGGTTAACATTGAGGGTAATCCCTCCTTTCCTTCATTCACGCATTTCGGATCGTTTGGACACAGTAGACGGAACCATCCTACCACTGTACACACTGGATTTCCGGGACTTCCATTTTTTCCATACCTAAATTCCAAAAGCGATATAATCATTGAAATTGACCCATCTACTTCCACCAGGATGGCTTCGCCAAATCAACATTACCCTGCATCAACACGCTCTAATGCAAGGCCTAATAACGCTCTCGCTGCACCAACAAATCGTAGAGCAGGATCAAATGATCCTCTTGCTTTGGCAGCAAATCCTGTTTCAAAGGACACCGAAGCTACATTAAAAGATCCTGCTGTATCACGAGCAGATCCCCCAAATCAGCCAACAAGTCCTGTCAAATCTCCAACAGACTCTTCTGTTGCCCCAGCAGATCCTTCTAATCCACCAACAGATCGTACTAATCCAAAAACAGATCCTGCTAATTCACCACTAGATCCTGCTAACCCACAAACAGATCCTGCTAATCCACCAACAGATCCTGAAAATCCACCTACGGATCCTACTAATCCACCAACAGATCCTACTGATCCATCAACAGATCCTGCTAATTCACCACTAGATCCTGCTAATCCGCCAACAGATCCTGCTAATCCACCAACAGATCCTGAAAATCCGCCAACAGATCCTGCTAATCCACCAACAGATCCTGTTAATCTGCCAACAGATCCTGCTACTCCGCCAACAGAGCCTGCCAATCCACAAACAGATCCTGCTAATCCACCAACAGATCCTGAAAATCCACCAACAGATCCTGCTAATCCACCAACAGATCCTGCTAATCCTCCAACGGATCCTGCTACTCCACGAACAGATCCTGAAAATCCACCAACAGATCCTGCTAATCCACCAACAGATCCTGCTATTCCGCCAACAGATCCTACTAATCCACCAACAGATCCTGAAAATCCACCAACAGATCCTCCTAATCCACCAACAGATCCTGCTAATCCGCCAACAGATCCTGCTAATCCGCCAACAGATCCTACTAATCCACAAACAGATCCTGCTAATCCACCAACAGATCTTGCTAATCCGCCAACAGATCCTGCTAATCCACCAACAGATCTTGCTAATCCGCCAACAGATCCTAATAATCCACCAACAGATCCTGCTAATCCACCAACAAATCCTGAAAATCCACCAACAGATCCTGATAATCCACCAACAGATCCTGAAAATCCACCAACAGATCCTGCTAATCCACCAACAGATCCTGAAAATCCACCAACAGATCCTGCTAATTCGCCAACAGATCCTGAAAATCCACCAACAGATCCTGAAAATCCACCAACAGATCCTGAAAATCCACCAACAGATCCTGTTAATCCACCAACAGATCCTGTTAATCCACCAACAGATCCTGCTGATTCACCAACAGATCTTGCTAATCCACCCGTAGATCCTGAAAATCCACCAATAGATCCTGCCGGTGCAGTAAGAGATGTCACTGACTCACCATCAACAGAAACAGAAGTACCTCTACCAACACTTACGCAACAACAGCTAAGACAGATCCTGCCGTTGCTACAAAAGTTACAGCAGGTCCTGCCTCTGGACTAATATATCCTGCCGCTGGACTTACAGATCCTGCCTCTTGATTAACAGATTCTCCTGCTAGCATAACAGATCCTGCCACTGGGCTAACAGATTCTGAATTTGGGCTAAGAGAGCCTACGTCTGGACTAACGGATCCTTCTGCTGGACAAGAAAGATCCTTCCGCTGGACCGAAAACATCCTGCTGCTGGATTCCGCGTCTGCACTAACGGATTCCGCCCTAACTCTGACAGTTCCAGCAGATTTTGATACTGTTCTTAGACGTCTCGTCGAAGAGCTGGACGTTCAGGGCACCTTCCAGACGGCGACTCTCCGGTCGAGGCGTTATGGCTTTTCCCAAACATCCAGAGGCATCACATCACTGCTGCGCCCCACCGTCCAGAGGCACCGTTGCTGCTCCCCACCGTCCAGAGGCATCGTTGCTGCTCCCCACCGTCCAGAGGCACCGTTGCTGCTTCCCACCGTCTATTGACTTTACAAATGTTTACAAAGAAGAAGAGCATAGTCTGTCTTTAATGTGTTGCTAGTAATAATTTTTCATGTGTGGTGTCACCTACAAGGTAGCGTTGACTTTTGTTGTATTGTTAATATTGTCAAATATATTGAAAGGTGCAATATTAATATGAAATATTAATAGTTATATTCTTACATTTACGGAAATATGAAGCTTCAGTTAATGTGTGTTGTAGGATTGTGACTTGTTCCTTTTAAAAAATATTTTCGAGTTCCTCTATCATTACGATATTGATAATAAATTTTATATAAAATTCTATAGCTGGTATTAATCACTTGATGGTTTTTAGTCTAAATACTAACAAATCTTGTCACGTTGCTGTGGCCTTCGTGGTTTTGACATTGTTTCAGCTTTAGACATTGGTCATGACATACAGTAGTATTCGTCAATAATATGAAGTGAAAACTAACCCACAGAAAATTGTGGGTTAATAATGTTGACTTACTCGTCGAGGAAGCTAACTGGCACCGTGTCAGTGACACGGTGTATTATTGTCTTAAGATGACCTGTTCAGTGCTGAGACCTGAGGCGGGAGCACTGTAAAATGGCGTCTGACACATGTGAAGATATTGCAGCCGTTTTCTTTTCGGTGAAGCACTGCAGCATGATCACTGGCTTACCAATGCTGAACTCGGTAGTGTGTACTCACCTATTTGTCCTCACCTATTTGTGGTTGCAGGGGTCGATTCATAGCTCTTGGCCCCGCCTCTTCACTGATTGCTACTAGGTCCTCTCTCTCCCTGCTCCATGAGCTTTATCATACCTCGCCTTAAAACTATGTATGGTTCCCGCCTCCACTACTTCACTTTCTAGGCTATTCCACGGCTTGACTACTCTATGACTGAAGAAATACTTCCTAACATCCCTTTGATTAATCTGAGTCTTCAACTTCCAATTGTGACCTCTTGTGTCTGTGTTCCATCTCTGGAACATCCCGTCTTTGTCCACCTCGTCTATTCCGAGCAGTATTTTATATGTCGTTATCATGTCTTCCCTGACCCTCCTGGCCTCCAGTGTCGTCAGGCCGATTTCCCTCAACCTTTCTTCGTAGGACAATCCCCGTAGCTCTGGGACTAGTCTTGTTGCAAACCTTTGCACTTTCTCAAATTTCTTGACGTGCTTGACTAGGTGTGGATTCCAAACTGGTGTGTGTGTGTGTGTGTGTGGTGTGTGTGTGTGTGTGTGTGTGTGTGTGTGTGTGTGTGTGTGTGTTGTGTGTGTGTATGTTGTGTGTGTGTGTGTGTGTGTGTGCGTGTGTGTGTGTGTGTGTGTGTGTGTGTGTGTGTGTGTGTGTGTGTGTGTGTGTGTGTGTGCTCTTTACCTGACTTAACCATTGCAGGTCTGTGCGTGAGTTGCCTCAGTCATGTATATAGACCAAGTCGGTATATAATCATGTATATAATCCCAGTCGGTAAGTTTGAGCTAAGAACCTAATACATGTATATTAAAAATATGGTACTAGAAGAAAAAACATTATAGTGTATAAGTTTTAACTCCAGCCACAAGGGGGTTCAGTGTTTGTAACTTGAACTCGTTGTTAATCGATAGAATCAACAGATAGATATTGATAAAGAAATTAATTAAATATATATATATATTATATATATATATTATATATTATATATATATATATATATATATATATATATATATATAT